CATGAAGTCCTGGGAAAGCCTTGATGTCACTTATCTGGTGGCAGGACAGTCAAAAGGGAGGGTCTAGAGGCCAGACAGGGGCTGGTTCCCTGGACATGATGGACATCCATGTTGGGTGAGCCAATCCCAGGCCACTGGGCTGGTCCCCATAGGGCTGGGCTCAAATGCTGCCCCTACAGCCACTGGGCTGGTCTTCACTGTCCACTGCCCACTAGAGAGGCTGTCTCACCAATGGAGCATGAGCTTTCAAGTATCTAGCCTGCCTCCCCCTTCCCCTGCCCTGGCCCTGGGCCTTGCCTCGTCCATCCTTAAGGTCATACTCAAAATTCTTTTATGCCACAATATTTCATGGCACATCAGAAGGAAAGTGGTGAAAGGAACCCATGCCTTTAACAAGCTGTGACATGCCAGGGAGGGCCCCTGACTGGAACACAAAAACCTTTACCTGAAGGGGAGAAGGAATATTTTTATTCCCCCTGGAAGGTCACCCTCCATGTAAAGATTAGCCAAAAAGCTAATTCGAATGCCTTTTTCTTCTTGTTCTTCTTCTCCTCAAAGCCCCCCAGGACATAGTTCTATATTCTAGTTGTGAGTGCCTCTGGTTGTGTCTGATGCCTTTTAATGGGGCAGATGGGTAACTACGTATCGTACAACCCTCTAATCTTAAATTATAGGCTGGGACCACCCAAGGCCGCCATCTTGATTATACACATGTATCTCAGCTTCTGGAAGATTGTGCTCCTAGAGGGCTAGGATGATGTATTCAGCCCTGTGTTTGCCCAACACTGAGCTTCATTCATAGCCCATATTCACCAGTGTTGCCTGCACTGGACTGGGGCTGGACACAAGCCAGGATAGAACATTCTTTCCTACTCCTCCACTACTCCATGTCCAACACTCTTCCCAGTTTGAGTCAGTGACCTTGCAATACAGTTACAATATAACACTTCTCCATCCTTAGAGGAATGAGTGTATCAAATCCAGAAATTCAAGCAGGCCCAGAAAGAGAAGTGGGAACTTATCGTTACCAATTATTGAGCCCTACATGGGCTAGACAGGATGTTTCACGTGGATTCTCTCATTTATTCCTCGCAACATTCCTCTAAGGTGATTACAATTATGATCCCCATTTTACAGTGGGGAAAACCGAGGATCATGAAAATTAACTCACACGGTCCAGGGTCACAGAGCCAGTTAACGTCAGAGCCAGGGTTCAGTCTCACGCAGGCTGACTTCAAAAGCTGCCCCGTCAACCTGTAGTCCACACTGGGCAGGGCTGAGCATTTGCCCCTTTGGGGAGTGTGGTCTGGGCACCATTGTGAGCTACAGTCAAGAAGCTGGGAGCTTCTTCCTCCTGGAAAACGACATTATGCAATATGTTTCTCGGCTCAGCCTCCAAGAAAGATTTCTGCTGGAACTAAAAGCGATTCTGGTTTCCCTCAGGAGAAGCCAATAATTTTGATCCCACCAGAAAAGATACTCAGTGTGGTTTTCTGTTCCACTTTAGACTCCTTCTATTCTGGCTATATCCTTACTGAAAATGAAGGATCTGCTCTCCCTCCCTAACTATTGCCTCCAGAAGCCATACTCAGTTCAGCCACACCTCCTGTTCTGTCTCATCCATCCATTCACAAATCGTAACTGAAGACCTCCCATGCGTCAGGCACCATGTTAGGGCACTGGCGACACCACAGGCAACCTCAACAGCTACAATTCTCCCCTCCAGAATCTAGAAGGTGGCTGCTGTATTTTCAGCTCCCTTCACAAAGCATCACTTTTTTTTTTTTTTAATTGGGGGGCTGGGCTGAGGGAGGAGAAACAAGGTGTGGCTGGGACACACTCTCAGGGTAACCCTCAGAGTCAAGGTGCATTAAACACAGTGGACAGACAACTGCAGTGGGGTCAGCCCAGCTGCAGAGGGAGGAAACACAGCAGCTTCTGCAGTCAGAGCTGTCCCCTGTCTCTGCCGTCCTCAGCATCCCGGTCTGCTGCGGTCCTGATGGTCTGGTCATCAGCAATCAGGAATGGAGGCTTCTCTGCAGGAGGTAGCCCTCCAGCGCTCTGAGCACTCCCCAGACGCTTTTCCTCTGGGCTCAGCAAAAAGCCTCTGCTGGTAGGCGGCTAATGGCCTGGCTGACTGTAATTCCGCCTTCCAGGAATTTGGAGGGGAGGAGTTCCATTTTTGCAGGCCACTGGGGCTGACCTTGACTTCTAGGGCAAAGAGATGCCCCCTCTTGATGGAACTGAACGGTCCCAAATGGAGCTGCATCTTCCCAGGGCCTCCAGTGGAGTGTCCCTTGGACCTTAAGGGTTATTCCACTCTGTTAGGCTTTAAAGGACAGAGAAACAGGACTACTGATGCCCTCCCGGTGGAGTTGCTGTGCGGACGAATTGCAATCGCGTGTGTAGAGCATCTGGCTTGAAACTTGGCCACGAGAATCACCTAGGGGCCAGTAATCACTTAGCCCACTAGCTCTCTGTGGGAAGCCGGGTACCTTTGTGGCGCTGTTCTAGATCACGTGACCATGCTTTCAACTTGGTCACAGCTGATTGGACAGTGATGGGCACGTGACTGAAGGGCAACCAATCCTGAGGCTGCTGACCAACAATGGATGTAGAGCGGCTTCAGCAGGATGCATTAGTCCGGTACTTCGGAGGGAGGGGACGTACCCACATCGTGGTACGCGAAACAAGCTTAGTTGACACACATATCACTTTTTAAGTTTTTAAATTATTATGGTAAATGCTGGTTTCCTATTTATGGTACCGATAAAAATTTCCATTTATGATTCATAATATTAAAATTCACAAGGAATTGCTTTTTTTTAATGTATGAACTAAATTTTAGCCCAGCTGGTTGGTCTGTGGCAAATAATCCAAGAGTGGAGGGTGAATGATTGACACATGGCAAAGTCCCAAGGCCACCTTCCTCCCTCAGGAATTGGAAAAGAGGGCAATGGATGGCTCGGGTAGTCAGCGAGGGGCTGAAGGTGAAGCGTTACCTGGCCTGGAGTCGGAATGCCAGCAAACCCAAGCCTTGTGCAGACTGCGGCTGGGAGAGAGGGAGAAATGAGCAGTGTGGGAAAACTGGTCGGTGTTGAGATGGGAGACTTGAATAAATGTGCGTAAAGGAAGCAAGAGAGATGGAGAAACAATGGAGACAAGGCAGAGATGGCGAGACAAGGAGAAAGACAGCAAGACAGAGAGAGACGCTGAAACACATAGAAATGCCCTGAGCTGCCTACTCCATGGTCTACTTCCTGGGTCTGCCTCTACCCCACAGTGTCCTTACAATGAATCCTGTTTGTTTCCTGAGATATCTTGAGTGGGTCTTCGTTCATATCAGAAAGCCTAACATAAATGGAGGGATAGGAAGAAAATGTATTTTGAAGATTCTTGGGCACCAGCCAGCACATTTAACATACAATGACAGGCAATGGGGAGCCATTGAGTGTTCTTGACAGAGAAACAGGGAGGGACTACCTCAGGTAGGCAAGGTAGGTGAGGTGCCCAGGGATAAATTTAAGGAGATCCAGCCTTGCAAGCTCAGACATCAAATTCCAGTGGATGACTGATTTCTACAGCTCTTCTTGAAACATCGTGGAATTTACTGATCAAAAATAGTGTCTGCAAGAATGTGAGGCTCCATCCCATCCAAACCATGGGTGCCCATTTCTAGAACTTTGCTACTCTGGAGACAAATTGAAAGAACCAGTTGGTACATAATTTAAATTCTGCTAATGTGTATTTACTATCTGCACCCAATTATCACCAATCAATATAACAGTTATTACTTAATGGGTGAAAACTGCAATTCCAGTGCCCCAGATCAGCATGGGGCGTTGCGGCTAATTGAGACAGAACTTATTCAAGAGTGTAATGAAAATGTAAATTCCCACACATTAATCAAACAATTATTTCTATAACCATAAGACAGCTGATCCTAAACCTAATTAGGAAATAAACAAAGTTAATCAGTGAGCAGACATTTACTAATCATATACGTGTCTCAAGAAAAGAAATATTAGGCAATGATTCATTAAAACATCCCAAACCCAAGCCTCCTACAAGCCCTCATAATACAGCCTCCCAGCTTCAAGGAAGCACTATGCTAATTTTTATTAAAGCATTTTGTTTTCTGCTTTAGGGTCTAGAAGGCACAGGAGGATAAAGAAATATATTACCATCGTACCATAAATAATCACACCATTTTAAATAACAGGAGCAAGAGCTGCAAATGTACTTATGTGATGTGGTGGACGCTGTCCAGCCCACTTTGAGCTTAATTATCAGAGTTGACTTCTCTTCAAGTGAGAGAGAGGGCGAAAAAGGAAGCTAATTCCAATGCAGATATAAAAATTCTAGGAAGACAGAAACCAAAGCCAATTGCATTTCTCTCGCCACTGCACATCCTTAGCTTCTTGTCAAAACTGCTTGCCTGGTACAATTTTGGGTCCAAACGTGGATTCATCTCAAGTTGCCTCAACTGCTGATGGGTTCCTGGGGCTGCTACTGTCCGTGACGGCTCTGTGAGGCTTTGCCTGACCATCAGGCAGATATGAGGATGCGCAACCCCATCCGGAGGTTTCCAAAGGGATGTTTGCTTCCTCCACCTGGAACTAGCAAATCCACTGAATGAAGAAATTTGGGAGGCTGGTGGGAGAGGAATACTGATACAAAAATTTCCCTAGGATGCATGGACTGGGATCAGATCAAACACGCAGATCAAACTGCACAGTTGAACACAACAGCTAACACGTACGGAGCGTCGTCACTGAGCTATAATATATATTAGTGCTTTATTTACACGTTGCTATGGACTCAGTGTTGGCGTTCCCCCCTAGCCATATGTTGAGGTCCTGGCCTCCAAAGATGATGGTATTTGGAGGTGGGGCCTTTGGGAGGTGGTTAGGTCGTGAGGGCTCTTTGTCATGAATGGGATGAGTGACCTTATAAAGAGACTCTAGAGAGCTTGCTAGCCCCGTCCACCATGTGAGGACACAGAGAGAAGTCTGCGACCCGGAAGAGGGCCCTCACTGGACCATGCTGGCTCCCTGATCTCAGACTTCCAGCCTCCAGAACTGAGAGCAATGAATTCCTGCTGTTTAGAAGCCACCCGGTCTGTGGTGTTTTGTTATAGCAGCCGGAACAGACTAAGACACTTCACAACAACCCTATCAGGTATGTACCATTACTATTATCTCCTCTTGTACAGATGAGAAAACTGAGGCATGGAGAGTTTGGGAAACTTGGCTTGTTACACAGTTTGTCAGTGGTAGAGGCAGGATTTGAAGCTATGTAGCCAGATTCCAGAGTCCATGGATCACTGTTTGTGTTTGACAGGCTGGATGTGGGTTTCTCTAGACGCCCTATCTGCGCCCCCAGAGACTCCCGTGCTTCCCCAATTGTGTCATGTATGAGTTGGTGTCAATGGGAATTAATTTTTCAATAGGTAATATTTCCTATAGTACACATTTCAAAAGATAACAAAGGTTCTAGGACAAAAGTGCCCCTTGCCACTCCTGCCCTCAGCCACCCAAGTCCCCTCCCCAGAGGACGTCAGTGCTTCTACTTTCAATCTATATACAAGCAATTACGTTGTCTTAGTTTGGGCTTCCTCCAAAGCAGTCCTCAAGGTAAATGTTGGGTGCAGGTAGTTTATTGGGAGATTATTTCCAGGCAGCATGGTGAAAGAGTAGGGAAGTGAGACAGAGAAGAGAAGAAACCCCAGTGTGTGCGAATGAGCATGTTACCACTGTGGGTCCACATCTCTCACTTCTCTCCACCCAGGGGCGAGGGAGCTCGGGTATTTATCCACCAGCACCCCTCCTGTATTGATTGAGGGTTATTTCAAGGTTTTAACTCTCTAGAAAGAGCTTCTGTGTGCATTGGAACAGTCTGCAGACAAATGCTACATGCACAGGTGTTATTTTCTCTTTCACTACAAATGGTAAAATAATACACACACTGTTCCATATCCTTCTTTAACCTGAAGATGAATCTTAGTGATCTTTCTGTATCAGTACATGAAGAGCTACGTGATATTCTTGTATAGATATACTGTCATTTCCCTAATTGGTCCCCTACTCTTGGTCATTTGGGTGATTTCCAAATTTTTGCTATTACAAATAATTCTGAAATTAATAACCCGGTACATGAGTCATGTTGTACATGGATGAGTACCTCTGTAGATTAACTTTCTAGAAGTGGAATTGCTGGGTCAAAGGGAATTTGCAGTTATAATGTTGCCAAGCTGCCTGCCTAGGGCTTGTACCTGTTTAAACTTCACATGACGAATGAGAGTATCCTGCTCTGTGATGGTCAGCAACTTACTTGTCTTTCTATCCTTCTATAATTTGGGCTTCTTGGGGGCAGAAACCATTTTGGATAACGTCTGGCTCATAGTAAGTGCTCGCTAAATATTTGGATGGGTGGAGAGGTGAGTGGATGGGTGGGTGGATGAGTAGAAGAATGGATGGGTGGATGGATGGGTGGATGAATGGATGGATGGATGGGTGGGTGGATGGGTGGATGAATGGATGGATGGGTGGATGGATGGATGGACGGATGGATGGATGGATGGGTGGGTGGGTAGATGGATGGATGGATGGATGGATGGAGAGATGAATAGGTAGGTAGGTGGATGGGTGGATGAGTACATGAATTACCCCAAAAGTATCATTCTTGAGGAGACCAAGACCCAGTGTAAAAAATAAATAACAAACTAGGAACTGGAAATTAATTATATCAGGTAGACTTCCTTCACTATATACTCTCGTAGGACGTCTTGTGCTCTCTGGGGGTGGCAGGAGGAAATTCAGCCATGCCTGGCCAGAGGCAGCGTGCTCACAGTGGCCGTGTCCGCATAGGCCAGGGCAGGTCCCATTTCTGAAGCTCATTGGGCTGGCCATTCACAGATGTTTTGCTGCGTGTTCCTGAGAACAGAGCTGCCACTCACTCCAAAGTCTGCAGTTACAGCGTCCAGATTTCAGTGTGTGGGGGGGCTTCAACTACACTGTTCTCACTTCAATTTTAAATTGCAGATCAATTAAGACAGCTAAATTGTCTAAAGATGCTTTTATCCATACCCTACACAAGATGGAGAAAACATCCATTGTTCATACCAAAGAAGAATATTATAATTTGGGGTGCAGCTTTGAGATGATGGGGCAGGTAAAGCCCACCCCCACCCCAGCCTGTGTCAGCAAGCCCCCACACCCCACACTGTTTCTCTGCTCAATTTTCTTTCCCCAGAGCGCCGAATCCTTCCTTTCTCCAAGCTTTGCATCTTTATTCTTCCAAGGACACAGCTGGCTGAGCGATTGGAGGAACAACTTGGCTCTTCTCCCTGCTTGTTCCTGAGCAGATCTCCTTAAGCTGCAGTTTCTGTTTATTTCTTGGAATTTTTGCCAGCCAGGCAGGCCCCAGGGAGGAGCATGTGGGAGCATCAGGAGGAGACTCGAGTCCCACACTCAGAGCCATAGCAGCTCTGTTGTTAGAATCGCACGCGAAATAACATTCGCTTTCTCCAGTGTAAATCTATAATTTATATTTATATGGCAGCTTCAGAAAATACCAATAAACAAATAAAGAAAGTAAAAGTCACATAGGCCATCATACAGAGATTACAACTGTTAACATTTTGGTCAATAACCTCACAGTCTTTTTCTATCCATGTGGCCATTATTTGTCACAAAAATGGCATCACATTGTGCAAACTTTTGTGACCCACTTTTTTCTGCTTGGTGTATTTTGAGAGTCATCTCCCGTCTTTCAAAGGGACTTCCATTATTTTTAATGACTGCATGATGGTCCGTTGGATGGCTACAACTTAGCTGACTTAACTGTCTCCTCTTGGTGACTATTTCAGTTGTCCCGTTTTACTGTTATAAATTGATCTACTGGCAAGAATAATAGTCTTTGCAAGAGCTTTTTCTTCCCCCAGATATTTCTGAGGTTTCTCGAGGGTGACCATGCCATAGTTGATGCGTCATGGAAGAGGGAACATGGCCTCTCCTATCAAGGGCGATGCCTCTTTCATCGCAGGGGAGGGTGGAGCCCATGTTCCTGAGGGAGGTGAACTGGGGCTTTGCCATGGCCCTCATGCTCCCTGGCATTCTTCTCCCTGGTCTTCTCCAATTCCCACCCTGACCTCTACCTTGCCCTTTATTAATCTGTCCCTATGGCACAGCCAAGACCACCAAGTTTGCCAAGAAGTTGCCGAACATCCAGGAAGGATTTACAACCAAGGGTGTCATTTATTTCTGTTGCCAGAAGTGGCTTCTCTTAGAACCCTCGGGCACCAAGCCCGTGCCAGGGGCCTCTACCAGCTGCCCCTTTGCCTGGCAGCTGTCCCGCCTCCAAGAACGAGGGGCAGCTGATCCCACTCCACCAGGGCTGCCTTGGAACACACCTACACCCCTGGGGTCAAGCTCCCCTTGTCTAAAATGCCACCTCCACTGTCCTCCTTTCCTGCCCACAATTTGATGGCAGGAATTGTGGAAATAAATGAAGACCACCCAAATGAGAATAAGCGAAGGCTATTTATTCAGAGTTGGCTATAAAGCAAGGCAGTCAGCCACCACCCCTTGCATTTGTCAGAGACTCACAGGCAGGTAGAGCCACGGGGAAGCTGTAGAGTGGGAAAGGAGAAGCCTTCAGGGATGCCTTGATTGGAGGCTGTGGGTGTGGAGAAGCTGGAGGTGGGTTGCCTAGACGCACAGTGTCCTTTGTAAGTGGTTAGAGAAGCTTCTTTTCCTTTCTGTGAGGGTCCTAAGTCGGAAGTAGGGGCAAAATTAGGGAAGCTGGCAGTTATTGACCAAGTCCTTACTGTTTGGGGCTTATTGCTCAGAGGTTGCGGTTTGGCTTCCTGGGCTCGCTGCAGAGGTTGTGGGTCAGAGTTCTGTTTTTGATAGGGTCTGGTCATTGTCCATTGGTATACTCAGTCTCAGAATTGTTGGCTCCCTTTATAAGAAGGCCCGCCAGATACCAATGGGGGAGGCCTGGCCCTCTGACCCCGATACAAGGCGATCGCATGGGAATAAAATCACCCAGCATCACAAAGAACAATTTCCACGGACATCAGCACTTGCCTAGGAGATACCCAAACTGACTGTTGCGTCTCATCGCAAATGGCCGTAATCAGCTAAAGGTGATAAAGGACCACACGCTGTCAGTGACCCTGAATTCCAGGCCTCCCTGGAGGAAACCGAAGGCTCTTTCCTGACCAACAGGTCTGTATACTGACCTCGGGCCCATTTGTCCTGTCCACAGAGCTGGCTTCCGATCCTTAATCAGCATAGCACCAAGAAAATTCCCTTCGAGTGCCTCAGACTCCTGACTTCATGCCTTCTGTGCGTGACCTGCTCAGTGAAATTCTTCACTGGCAATTTTTTGCTTGACAGGCGAATAGACTTGGTTTTGTAAATTTTTTTTCAGCTCTTGTGGCATTTGTGTATTTTTGCCTACACCATCTATATGACCTCAACTGCAGAGTCCAGCTTGGGCTCCCCCGAGCTGGACCAGGTTCTTTTTGAGGCTGGACTTCCTTCCGGCAGCCACCAGGACCTCTGCCCCAGCTCCCCGCCAGCGGTGCTCGTCAAGAACACACGGCCCGTCTCTGAAGACAAGCAGGGCGGGCCACGCCTCCTGCTCAGTGCTGAATAAACTCATACAGAGAGAAAAAAATCTTCTACCCAACCCAAACAAAACAGTCTCCTGGGAATTCGGAGGAGCTTGGCCTAACCATCTGCATTCAGGATAACAGCTAATTCACAGCTTTCCCTGAAAACAATTGGCATCCACTTGCTCTGCTCTTCTGCAGCTAAAGGGCCTGTTCAGGTGATTTTTCCAGAACAAAGGAACAGCTTGCCCCAAAGGGCTTTTAAATCCCCTGTACCTGCCAGGCAGAAAACTGCTTCCAGTTATGAAATGGGAGTTTTTCCAGCCTCTGCTAGTCCCAGTGAGGTTTTTATAACCTTGTGAGTCTCAGGCAAAGGCAGCCTGTTACATCCACGAAAGGAGAATGGTGCAATCCACCATTGTTTGATCAATAGATTTTTCTAGTGCATTTAAAATAGGGCTTTAATTGGCCTACAAAAAAGCAAAACTTCTCCATAATATGAGATTGCAAACCCCGCGAGACCAGGAGACAGATTTGTTCATCTCTCACTTGCACAGAA